CCCTCCACCCCTTTCCCCCCATTCCCGGTCTCTCACTCCCCCAATCCACCCCATTACTGCTTCCCAGGACCTCCTGTCCCTGACTCCCACCTTCCTCTTCCTTCCACTGGACCCAACCCTCTCTGATTCCCTCTTGTCCTAATCCTCCGCACAGCCCTTCCCTTCCTGCCACTGCTCTCAGACCTCCCCGCTTTGTGGCACCCTTACAAGCACCAGCTCCCCGTCATCTTCTCCCACTGCTCCCTGGACTCCTTCCTCCCAAGGACTCTTGAATAAGAACCTGACCGCTAGATCCTCCATGCATTTGCGAAGTTATTAGAGGGGTGCGTCAGCTGTGCTATCGTTAAGATTCTGCATGGCTTTCCTGTTTTAAGGTTGTCTATTATAATGGCGCTAACATCCATATTCGTACTCAGATTGCGCTGAAAGTTGGTGCTTGTCGCAGGGTTTCAGGGCAGGGTGAGTGGTCCCAAAAAAGGGGTTATTTCATCAAGAGTTTCCTGAGACACAGCACCCCCCACCCAAGAAGCTGATTACAAATCACCTTGTTCTTACAACATGCTCTTGCACTCCCCTGAGGCTCAAACGATACTTCTAATTGATACCACCAATTGATCTGAGTCTCTGGATATTTAGCTCATCTAATACCCAGCAGCCACTGCCTTTTGCAGGGGAAGCAACATTGACAAAGTTAAAAGCTGTGGAGTTTGGAAATTCAGATCGGCGCGAGCCAAACGGAGGAGTCGAAGAGACTGAAATGCACGTGGATTACAGCTGTTAACAGCCAGAGGTTTTCCATCAATGTGCTGCCACAGTAGCTGGTTTTAAGAGGACATACTGTGGCCGTTCCACCTAAGCGACGCCCATTCATTGGAGTTGGAGTCCAGCCACTGATCGCTTTCAGACCACGTGGGTTGTGCATTGGTCTTTCATTCTGCAGGAGTTCCATGATACCAACAGTTTGGAGTTAAGAGAAATGTTTTAAATTGCTCTAAAATGCAGACTCTGGCCTGCTCTGT